ATAGGCCAAAGTCCCTCAAACTAATGTGAGGACTGAGCCATTTTATGAGCAGTTTATCAGAAAAGGACCATACACAGGTATTACAAAAAGCTCTGTTTGGTGAATCCTTCCTAATTCAAGGTGTTTTTTTTTTGGTAGTGGGGGGGTGGGTAAGCTGGTGCTACTAGATCTGCTTATGATGGAATCAACTGCAAGTTCAAATTTTATCAAGAACACCAGACCCCAGACGTTCCTTTAACATCGGAGGTGTTAACACTGGGTGAAGGGACCATGGATGGAATTTTGAGGCTCCAGGGACTTAGATGGGAAAGGAGATGGCTCTTATTTACTAGCTTCTGAAATCCAACACTTCTGTCGATTCTGGATGTAGGCATCAAACCACAGTACCCTTAGCAGCGTCTGTGATTTCGTCAACAAATTAGATATTTTCATGTAACATAGGATTCTTGAAATACGATTTATGGTCATTGCTACTTTACAACAAGAGTAGTTACCCAGGTCTGCTGCTAGAGCTTGTTATTTACTGTGCAAATAAAATGCATGTAATTAAAAAAACATTTTGATAACTACTTCAATATAACTTTTCCTTTGCAAACCTATGCATTCCATTTTATTCTTTTAAACATCGCTTTGAGAGGTGACTCATAGACTTCATTAGGCTGACAAAGGTGTCTGTATGACTCAAAAACCAAAGAACTCTGGCCTTAAGACAGGTCTCTCACGCAGGGGGCATCGGGTCATTAGAAGGGGCTCCATCTGCAGGCCACAGACACGGGTTTGGATACGGACAAACTGCTTGACTTGAGAGCTTTCTTCGCTTTCATTTTCTTCTGTATGAACACAGAAGCATCTCGAGGTGCACGTGGGGCGTAAACGAGATCCTGTCCTAAGTGTCTCCTGAAAGCGGCTGCACATAAACAAGCTCAGGTGGCCATTTCCACTCACGTGAGAGCTTTCTTCGCTTTCATTTTCTTCTGTATGAACACAGAAGCATCTCGAGGTGCATGTGGGGCGTAAACGAGATCCTGTCCTAAGTGTCTCCTGAAAGCGGCTGCACATAAACAAGCTCAGGTGGCCATTTCCACTCACGTGAGTTCAAGTGCAGTTGTCATAAAGATCGCTACTGAAGCAAAATTTACTCTACTGTTTTGTAACCTGTGCTGGGGGGACGCAACGTTGGTCATTTGTATAAGACACGCCCCAGCACGTGGCTGGGCAACCCAGGGGCATTTCCCCCATCATCCGACGATACCCCTATTTGAAGTGTTTTCCAATCTCACTACAGATCTCCCCATTCTTTCAAAAGACCCTGTCCTTTTTCTGCATCAACGCTTACAACTCAAAAGGCTCCACCCCTGATTCCCCGCCTCTGCCGGTGGGAGATGATCTAGACTAAGTAAGAGGACAGTCAACCCGCAAATAACACGCAGGCACTGGAGTCCAGCACCCCACGCGCTGGATTAACTGTACTAGCTGCGTTTAGCAAGTTAACTTTTCTGAGATCAGTGTTCCCTCGTAAGGATGAATGCGCGTGCCTTTCGTTGTGAGGTCTGAATGGAATCCCGCAGGGAAATGCTTGAACGTTAGGGTTCAAGGTGCTGTCGCTTCCATCCAGAGCCCTGGCTGCCGAGTGCCGGCAAGGACTCCTGATTTCAGTGGTGGACACCTTTTCTGTACCAGTGATGCAGACAGCCTTCTTTCTTAGCTGGGTTCTTTCCTTCACAGGACTGGCTACATAATTTTGCAGGGCCTGATGCAAAATGAAAACACAGAGCCCTTTATTCAAAACTTAAGAATTTCAAGATAGCGACAGCAGAGCACGCCACCAAGTGTGGGGCCCTTCGTGACGGCACGAGAGGCTCACGAAGACGGCCCTGCCCCTTCAACTGGAGCAGCTGATCCCACCTGGCTGCACATCAGAGTCACCTGCAGGACTTGAGAAAGTACCGATGCCCAGGCCTCTCAGCCCAGAGATTCTAAAGAGCTAAGAGCTCTCCAGGTGACGGCAGCGCGTGGCCACATTTGAGACCCTTTGGACTAGAGTGACAGAGAACCTTGGAAGAGTGTTGTGGGCCAATATCCACAAAGAGCAGGCAGAAGCAGGCCCCCAACGCCTGCCAAAATAGGAACGCACGTGCACAGAACAGCAGGGGCGTTCAGGACCCGTGCCAGGTGTTTCTCAGAAAAGTTACTCTCAACCTTTATGGGTCCATAGGGGAAGAGAACACTCCCGACCCAACATCTCCTTTTGGGTTTTAACTCCACACAGGCTGCTCCAGAAGCACCATTTCCTAGAGCCCTTTGCACTACCTATGACCAGCCAGGTAGCCGGGGGCGGCGAGCAGTTTATATGCAATTTTCTGGTTCTGTTACGGGCGGGGACATGACTACCTTCTGTCCTGTTTAGAGCTTAAGCTGCCGCCACCTTGGACCACATGAAGATGTGGGGTGAGAGTTGGAAATAAGACAGAAGCCATGATCCCCGATGTCTTAAGGTCACAACAGTAGTTTTTGGTTATTTCCCACCCACCCTCTCCACAAACAAAACAAGAAATGAGAAAAGGCCATAGAGAAGCCAACACCACTTGATTTTATCATTCAGCCAAACACCTGAAACGGGACCATTCGACAGATGGGCAAACCGGGAATCTGAGGTGAGATCTCTAGCCAGATGTCACCAGACAGTATTTCCAGAGCCAGGGTTTTCTCAGCTCCTTCCTCCTCAGCCCCATTAGCTTATAACAAAAGGTGGCTTCTTTGGGACCGTTTCGTCCACCGTGTTCAGATCGATTCATTACTCTAACAAAATATTTTTTCTTTATTAGACACCCAACCTAGCTCTGCAGTTAAAAAAGGTGGACTCTGGAGCTGCTCTGCCTGGGGCCGAAACCCAACGCCCATCCGGGAAGTTTCACCTTCATGTTTGTTTCTGGATCCAAGAGAGGAGGGTCTAGGGGAAGGGGAGTGAGGCAAGCCCCTCGGGGCGAATAGAAAGCGGTGCCAAAAGTCTCACAGACCAAGGTAGATAGTGTAATGCAATTTTCTAAAAACCAAACATAATGCAAAAAAAAAAAAAAAAAAAACAACGAAACATCAGAATTTTAAATAAAGATAGGATCCAACTCTGCCCTCACACACCCCTGCCCTAACTCCCAGGCCAAGTTCTAATACAACTTTATTTATAAAAACAAAGTGGCTGACTTGTGGGTCATAGTTTTCCAATTAAAAAAAATCCATTGGAATATTTTTTCGGTTACTGAGGTTTCGGTGCCCTGCACGAGTAACTCACTTGCCTCACCCTAGTCCTAGGTCTGGGTGACACCTGGGAGAAACAGATGAGTGAACACAGACAGGTAAAATTCTTAGTACAGGGCCTGGCTCAGAACAAGGACAAATGTCACCGATGGCAACAGAAATTAAGGCGCATCCTTTTTAAGAAATTAAATGCGTGGACAAGTAATTCATGTTCTAGCAGGGGTCCCCAACCCCTGGTTCGTGGACCAGTATGGGTCCATGACCTGTTAGGAACCGGGCTGCACAGCAGGAGGTGAGCAGCGAAGCTTCATCTGTATTTGCAGCTGCTCCCCAGCGCTAGCATCACTGCCTGAGCTTCGACTCAGTTCATCGGGCATTAGAATCTCTTAGGAGCACAGGTCCCTGGTGCCAAAAAGGCTGGGGACTGCTGTTCTACAGTATTTAGAAGGCAGCAAGAAATCTTAAAGAAAGGAAAGAGGATGTCACTTTGATTTTTGGACTCTTCGCTGGAGATTTTTAAAGCTGATCTGGATAAGGATCCAAAGGAACCAGCTTTTCCCGGCACCCAGCCGGAACTCTGTCTGCTGCATGAAGCAGCACCTTCCTTGAAGGAATCCAAGGAAATTTAGTATTCTTAGTAATTCTCCCCTGCATTTACCCATGACCAATTACCCTGCTACTTGCGTTCAAATAGTCCAGCTCAGGGGTCAGTAAACCATGGCCCACCAAATCATGGCCTGCTTTTTTAAAGTAAAGTTTTATTGCTACACAGCGGTACCCATTTGCTTACTTACTATCTATGGCTGCTTTAGCTACAATGGCAGAGCTGAGTGATCATGCTACAACTGTAGAGGTGAATGGCTGAGAGGTTTTGACGAGGGCCAGCAAAGCCCCAAATGCTTACTATCTGGCCCCTTACTGGAAAGTTCGCCCGTCCCTGGTCCAAGTGAAGTCTAAGTTCAAACCTAATCATTAATCAATTTCCCCTTTCGGATCCACGTTGACCTTGGACATGGATACAGAACGGACATGGATACAGAAACTTTGCCTTTCTGGTCTGTGCCATGTCAGCGGTCCCTTAGCCACTACGGCTGTTTCCCAGTTTTACTTGGTGATCATCTGTATATTTTAAGTTTCGCCCTAGCAGAGTTAGCCAGTTTGCTCTTCTGCTTCCTGAATTATTTTATAAAGTTTTATTGGAACACAGATACGTTCATTCCCTTTCTGCTTCTGTGCGAAAATCATAGAGTTTGGGCACAAAAAAAGACCTTATGGCTCCACAATGCCTCAAATACTATCTGGTCCCCAAACGTTTTACTGACCTCTGCTCACTGGGAATCCAAATACGCTAAGCGATACCAGGGTAGACCTGAGACCTCTGAAGTCCATACAGCTGTTAAAAAAAGCTTCCTAAAAAGGCTGCTGTCTTTCCTGTTTATCTTAAGAGGTATAACACAAGAAGTACGAGGAAAGTTTGTATGATTTTGATCTCTGGGTTCCCACTCGAAAGGTCAACAACCCTTCTGTTACTAGAGGAGAAACGGAGATAAGACTCATGACAAAGAGCAGAAAGGTGACAACGGAATCTGTACACTGCACCAGCCCTCAGTAACCAAACGCTTTTCTGCACAATCGCAAACAATAGTCCCGGAGCAGAGCAACGATCGATTCCATCACGGGTCTCTCATTTTCATTTTTCCCCTTCCGACGAAGAGATTCAACAGCGCGTGATCACCGGCCCGAGGTCATACGTGAATCAGATCTGTTCCAACAAAATTCTTAAAATACACTACATACCTCTTGCTATTCCATCAGTGAAATATTCCCCTGTATACAATCTATCAAAACTGGTTTTCACGTCCTTTTTCCCGGTTGACCAAAAACAATGGATCGTTTTCATCTATTCTAAAAGCACAGATATTTAGCTCGATGAGGGCACACAAGAACTTATATTAGAGAGACTATATATGAAGATACCCAAATAGAACAAAGTAACTCTAGATCAATTCTATATCCACCGACGTCCCACAGTCTCCTAAGTAAAATGTCCATTTATGAGAGGTTTGGCTTTTCACTTGTCTGTTGGCTCAGCAAACACCACGTGCTTACTGTGATGACAGATGCTAGTCTCAGGCTGTCCCCTGCATCATGTGTCCCAGAACCAAGCCCAGGGCCCAGCGGGCGCTTAGTCTTTTCTTTACGAATACAAGCACACAAATCTGGAATCTTACGAGACACCATGACAGGCTGAGCTAGAGTTAGCTTGATCTTTGCTGCCACCTACAGATCAAACTGCATTTCACATAGTGGCAGGGCTGACGCTGAGAAATCCTGGGTGCATTTATGATTACTGAATGGGGGGAGTGGGCAGGGAGAACCCCATAACATAACCTGTCCACGGAAGAAAAATGGCGTGTTTCTCTTACCTCATTCTGAGGATGAGTTTGCTTTTTATTATAAGACAACAGGTAAAAAGGAACCACACAAAAACGTATAAGGCGGATACTCATAACCACCACCCGGGTTAAGAACTAGCCAGCTTCCCCAGACCTGCCACGTACCTATCCTCATCTTCACCTTTCCCACTACACAGATCGGGTTACTTTCAGTGTTCCATGTGGTCTAAAAGTTTAATGATTCCATCAGAGATGGATCAGTCTTGGAGTTGGAATCCATCGGGAAGGTATCCCTCTAGGATACAGCGATGCTCGTGCACCCCCACCTTGGAACGACCGAGTCAACTTGCTTCGCTGAGCCCTGGAGGAAAGAGCGCCGGGAAGAGGTGTCTGCACCGCACGGTGTCTGCCCTGGGACAGCCACCGCCTCTGGAGGCCTAAGGTGTTGGGAGCAGCTGTGCCGGGGCTGGTGACTGAAGTCTGGCTGGATGGCCTCCCTCAGGGGGCTGGGCTGCAGCATTCGCCTGGAGTTCTGGGCAGCCGACCGCCCTCTTTGCCTGAATTAGAGGCACAGGCTGGGCTCCAGGGGAGTCTCCAGCTGCCCCGAGGAGCCGCTTTCCGGCGGGAAGGTGACCAGGTCCGAGTCCTTGCTCTCGCTCTGCTCGCTGTGCTGCTTCTTATGGCACCTCAGGGAGTCGTCCCTGACGAAGGCGGCACCGCACGTCTCGCAGCGGAAGGCCCTCTGGGTCACTATTTTGGCCACGTGCTGGGAGCTGCCCTCTCGGGGCCCTTCCCTGCCTGGTGGGGCCCGGTTCTCTGTTTTGGCCTCGTCCCTGTGTACCTTGTCAATGTGCTTGGCCAGGCTGCTGGGCCGCTTAGTGTCAAAGCTGCAGAAGTCACACTTGAAGGGACGGTCCTTGCAGTGGACCCGGCTGTGCACGCGCAGGGCAGCCGCACTGGAGCAGGAGTAGCTGCACTCCGGGCACTTCTCGGGGTGGTCGGCCTGGTGCAGCCGGCTGTGCTCCAGGAGGTCGGCCCGGTCCCGGCCCTGGAAGGCGCAGTGCAGGCACTTGAAGGTGTGCTTGATGCGGATGTGCGACTTCAGGTTCGCCTTCATGGTGCAGCGGACGTCACAGAACTCGCACTTGAAAGGCTTCTCCCCCGAGTGCACGATCATGTGCCTTTTCAAGTCCGAGCTGATTTTGAACTTGGCGCTACAGAGCCAGCACTGGAAGGGAGTGTCCCCTAGCAACGGAAGGTGTGTTTCCATTAGAGCAGGCAGGCAACACAGAACTCCCCCCAAACATGCGTCAGAACACTTGGCCGCAAAGGGACAGTTGGGTCTTCTGAGCTCCAGCTACCTGTAGCCTCCTAATACCATTTACCATGTATATCAACTCACTTAATCCTCATGACAGTCCCGAGTGGGTCCTACCTATCACGCCCATTTTCCAGATGGGGTAGCTGAGGCTCAGCGAGGTCAAGTTCTCGATCTAAATAGTAGGGATTTGAACCCAGGCATCATGGCATCCAAGTCCACACTCTTTGCGAGAACACTTCGGTTTTGAATCTAAACTCTCACGTATCCTGGCATCCCCAAACTGAACACAGAAGAAGGAAGAGGTGCGTAAAATATCACATACAACTGTTCCAAATCAAGCCAAGACTCATAACCACGCTGACTCTAGTGCTTAAGCTGCTTTATATCAGTTCATTGGCTTGCATTTACTAGTTAAAGTTTCAGTTTCACATCTACAGACTGAATTTTATGTATAAAAAAGTAACACATGAATATGGTGGCACGGGACAAGTAAGGGAAAAGCCTTAGCTGCTTCTGCACCCCTGGAGGTGCTGCTAAAGGTTTTTTCTTTTCTTGGAGGTCGTTACTTTTAAACAACATCATCTGTTGACTCTAAGCAAAGAATCTCCCTTACCCTACACATGCCTCCTTTCCCACCAAAGTCCTGTGTTCTGATGGGTGTGATTTTTACTTTTCTAGCGCTACCTTCTAAACTAATAGCTTTATTTTTACATTTATGTTCAATAACATTTACAGTCTGACCTGTGAATTCTCATGCTTTAACTAGTTATTTTCAACTTTAGAGTAAGCTATACTAAGTCCTCACGTAACGTCGTCAATAGGTTCTGCAACTTTAAGCAAAATGACGTATAAAACCAATTTTATCATAGGCTAACTGATATAGTTACGGCATCTCATCGATGTTATAATGACGTTGAATGAAACAATGTTATTTGAGGACGTGCTGTACCAGCAATTTACATTACGACTGGGCATGTGATATTCGTCAGAGCCAACTACGCCAGAATGACGTCCACCCCTTACAGGGCCACCGTCACACCTGGGCTAGTTGATATTGTTGCGAGCATTAAGGTCAAGTTGATCCTCTTCTCTTACATGCTTATTTTGGACCACATTGTATCATGCTTCTTGACTAGACTGTGTGTTTTTTGAGAAAAAAGAACCTCGCCATGGTCTGAAAGTCATCCAGTCTATTACATAAACTTTTACATGGAATTTCTACTGGATTTTCTGAATTTCTGATTTACTGATTTTCTTCCTCTTAACCTTCTATACAAGTATCACCTTGATATTTCCCTTTACTGCAACCCCTGTTAGCTATAGTCAGATAGTCACATATCAAATATCTCATGTCAATTTTTTTTTTTCTCTTGTTTTGCTACAGTTTATCTTCTGGTACCTTCCACTAGGATGGTGACCGGGTATGAAGTCTGAGTCCTTGCATAGCTTTGTCTATTCTGCTTTCATTCTTGAGATAGTTTGGCTGGGTATAGAAGTCTATGTTCAAATTCATTCCCCAACTTTGAAGGCACTGTTTCACGGTCTCCTAGAAGCCACTATTACTGAGAAGTCTTTCTAGGTACGGATCACTGCAGCCGCTCCGCTGGCCCTGATTGACATCTTGGGAGCCCTTTCTTGGGAGCCATGTATCGTTAGAATCATGAAGTTCTTTTTCTCACTTGATTTTCTCAGTTCTATTTTTTTCCTAGACCTTGTCAGCAACCAGACTTCCAGCTTCTTATTCATTCTCAGTTCTCCAACTCAATTTCTTTTTCTAATCTTTGGGATTTTTCTTTAACTTTATGGCCAGCGATCCTAGTTTTAATTCATACACCTTTTATGATCACTGCCTTTTCACAGAACTCTTCTTGGATACAACATTCTTGCTATTGGGTAGATACTAACTAGAATTTTAAAGTCTTGTCTGTTATTCAAGCACTCTGTTAACTTCAGGATTACTTATTTGTTAGACTTGGAGCATTTTACACTGTCATTTTCCACAAATGACTCATAGTCCACAGTTGACACTTTATGTTTAGGAAGAATAAAGTGGTTTAAGGATTAGACATAGGTGCCATGGATTTTACTGTTTCTAGGTAGTTTGGGCCATTGTGCCAATAGGCTTGAGCGTCTCTGAGCCCTGTGGCCTTGGCCATCTACATGCCAGTTCCAAGCCCAGAACTCTCAGGGCAGCCAGACAGTGGTGAGAACGAGTGGCTCCCAACTGTATGGCCACCTCCCACTTGTCTGTAGGGACAGGTTTCTCTACTCAGTTTTGGATGTTGGCATATTCCCGTCTGCTTGCCATCTTCCGTGAATTCATTGAAAATTCTCATTTCATGAACCTCTTTATGAGGCTTCCAGTCCCCATTTTTCTGTGCCATGATGGATTGGTTGGTTCAATTGATCGATCATTATTTCAATGGGGGTTTCACAAAGAAGGGAAGGAAAAGCTCTTTGCAAAGTCTAATTTCCAGAGCTAGAAGTCTGTGATTTGCAGTTATACTCAACTAATTTTGCTACATGTTTTTGAATTAAGCTATACCATCGGAAGTTAATTTAAATGACTGAAACAGCTGGTTTATACATCGACTTTTATTTGAGATACAGCTTTACTCCTTGGCTGCTGTAGCGAGTACTCATCCCCAGCTGTGTTCTATGTAGTCAAGTGAGAAAACCAGCTATCAGACGTTCATGGTTTACTAAAGCTATTGTCCTGGCGAACGAACAACCACAAGCTTCACAAATCACCACAGAAATTCCAATTTTTGTTTTTCCTTAGCCACCCAGTTATTTAAGTTGCTTATGTTTCAGGTAAATGAAGGTTAAGACATAAGAGACCAAGTAAGGCACAGAGGTTTCCAGGCCAGGGACTTACCTGTGTGGGACCGGAGGTGGACAGTGAGCTGGCTGGAGTTGCGGCTGGCGTAGGGGCAGAGCTGGCATTTGTACGGCCGCTCGTCGGAGTGTATCCGCAGGTGCTTCTTGAGGCTGCTGCTGTCCACAGCGGCGTAGTCACACAGGTGACACTTGTGGGGCTTCACGCTGGTGTGGCACCGCATGTGCATGGTCAGGTTGTCCTTCCGGCTGAAGCACTTATCACAGAACTCACACTTGTGTGGTTTGTCTCCTTCAAACACATAAAAAGAATCAAGGTTTTAAGGTTTTCCCTGTCAAGATGACTGCAAAAGGACTTGACTGACATGCTAGCCTGGGTATATGGGTCTACCTCTTCCTTCTGTCCAAATGCCCAGAGACAGAAACATACCGAAGTCTAGATAAGCACACTGAGAGATGAGAAGCTGTGCCATTTATTGATGGCTCGGAAATTTTAAAGACTCCTGCAGGCCAGATTAGATAAAATCAGACTGAAGGAGAAACTCATAGGCCAAACCCCATCTGGGAAAATGGGAGTGGTTATAGAAGTATTCAGGATCAGAGGTGGCAGGTGTAGGTGTCTTAGAATAGCGTTCTGGCTAACTGACAAACCACACAGAAGATGGTCGGGTAGACCACTTCCCCTACTTGTATCAAACAGCAAGCAGCAACAGTATCCACCTCCACCCCCGACTATTAGGGAGCGAGGGTACTTATACCAAAGAAATGATGCAAAGGCCCCAAGTAGCTAGAGAGACTCTGGAAAACAAAGAAGCCCATGCTCAGAACGTCTCCACCAACTAGAGCATTCCTTTTCTTCCCTACAACCACTTCAGACTGATCACGTCCAAATAAAAATTAACCTGCCCCTTAACCAAATGCTTGGAGAAGGCCAGAACCAGGAAGACACGCCCGACTGAAGAACCTGAAGTTACAAAAGCAGTTTTCATTCCTATAATAATTTCCATTCTCTTATGATTGTCAAAATAAAACTTCCTGTAAGCAAGTTGAGTAGCAGAAGGGATGTCAAAAAATGACTAGAAGTAGAAGACAGAGCTAAAGAATCTCCCAGAAGACTGCCCAAAAGGACAACAGGGAAAGTATAAGAAGAGTTAAGACACGAAAACTAGTTCTAGATTGTCCAGGTTAGAAGAGAGTAAATAATTATCTCTTAACACTAAAGACAGCCATGGGTCTTAAGATGCCCTAGCTACAGGCAGGGTGGCATAATTTCAGAAGCCCCAGAATGATGAGCTCTTAAAGCTTTCAGAAGGAAAAATGCTCAGATCAGCACACAACTCCTTAGGTGACACCGGAGGGTAGTGGAATGGGGATAATATTTGCAACATTCTATAGAAATTATTTAAATAGAATCCTATACTTGGATTAGCATTCAGTGGAAAGAGAAAATAAAGCCAGTTGACAGATGAGGGATGACTCAGGGTACCACACTTCAATGGTGTATACATCCTAAAGAAAGGAAGTGGAGATGTGGGATATGAGAAAGGAATGAAATGGAAAGTATTGCTTCCAAACCACGAGAGAGAACTAACCATCAAAAAAGGCAAGAGCACACGAAATAAGGCAAAAATTGAACTAAATGTTAAGTACAACAAACAAATGGATTCAATTTCCCTGCTAAAATTTTCAAAAAAAAAAAAAAAAAAAAAAAGTAAGCTTAACATTCTTAAGATAAGTAAAATGAGAGTAGAAGAAAATAGTAGAAGAATATTCTAGGAAAATGCTAAAGAAAAGCAGGACTATCCATTTTAATATTAGGCAAAATAGAAATCACCATGAATGCCACGAAAAGCTTCATATTAGAGCTAAAACTCACCAAGTAGATGTGAATCAAGCTTTTGTGAATCTAACATGGTCTCCCAAAAGGTTTTTCTAAAAAGTCACCTCGAAAGTTGTAGAGTATATTTTAAAACAACTTTTTTGTTCAAGAATCCAAATCAGATTACAAACCTCCCAGACAGATGGGCGGCGAGAGCTTCCTGTATCAAAACCTATAGCCTATCGCTTTTCAGAAGAAAGTTTATAGACAAGTTCATTTTTAACGCCAAAAATGAAAGCAAGTGAACCATATGCAATTCAAGAAACTAGTCGAATGAATTTTAGAGCACTTGATGAAGAAAAACAAAAATTAGTTGCTAACAAGGGAGGTTTGCTCATAAAGAGAAGATTCCACTAGACCAGAGTTTTCGGTCCCGGCGCTACTGCCATTTGGGACAGGTAATTCTTTGCTGCAGGCTGTCTTGTGTATGAAAGGATGTTTAGCAGCACCTCCCTTCCCATTGTGAGAGTTAAATGTTTTCAGCTATTGCCAGATGTCCCCTGTGGGGGAAGGGGTGTAAAATTGTACCTGGCTGAGGACTATTCCAAGAGACACAGGAAAGAGAAAGGGTACTATGGACAGACGAAGTCATCTTTACCCTCAATATATTTAGAAGGCTCAACAGAATGGATGACGGTCCAGGCAGACATAAAATTACAAAGTAAAACGGATCAATAATAATTTAAAAAATCGCTACGTCAGAGGAAAGTTGTTTACTGTGTAAGTATTTGCTGTCCTTCTTCTCAGGAGAATTCTGCTTTCCTGTCTCGGTGACTGCAGGCTGGGGCATGTGACTTGCCCTGCCCATTGAAATATGACCAAAACTGATGAGTCAGTGTTAGTTAGGCAAATGCGTTTCCGAGCCAGTGGACAGTCTGCCACCACTCATTTCTCTTGCCCAAGACAACTTGTAATGTTCCCTATTGGGGGTTCTTAGTTTGGGGCTTGGAGATAAAATGTAGAGGATCCAAGACCTTGCATGGGAAACCATTACCTTCTTATTTCTACAGACTCTAACTGGAATCTGGTACTTCCACCGGCTATGAATGCAGTCTGGAGACCACTCTATGGATGGGACCTGAGACCTTCGGGAACAGACACGAGCCATGTTTGTATCACACTGCACTTTGCTGCGATTCTCAGCATGACATTGATGTTCATCACGGCTTCAGTTAAGGTAGTTAGTTAGACCAGCCGTGAGACACCAATCTTAAGTGCAGACCTTCTTAGTGCCACAGTGCATACTGATCATAGTGGGTGGGAAAGGTATCATTAAAATAGACTTTTTTTTTTTTCAGATTTGAGATACAAGTGACATATAACACTGTGTAGGGTATACAATGATGATTTAATGTATTGAGGAATAATTAACGAATCTTATTGTGGTAATGCCTCTATCACTTCAGATAATTACCACTTTTGGGGGGAGGGGGTGAGAACATTTAAGATCTATTCTCTTAGCAAGTTTCAAGTATATAAAACCACATTGTTCACTACGGTCACCATGCTGTATGTTACATCCTCAGAACTTACTCATCTTATAACTGGAAGTGTGTACCCTTTGACAACCATCTTCCCAATTCCCAAGTCAAATTTACAGAAACAAAGTAAAATGCAGTTTCTCATTTAGTGGCTCTGGGTGGGGCTTGAGATTCTGCATTTCTAACAAGCTCCCAGGAGGGATGCTGACATTTCTGGTTTTTACCACCCTTTAGAGAGCAAGGGTTTAGTGTATTAACATACCACACACTTAACGCTTTGACAGCAAATGTACTGAAATACGGTTTTTAAATGTGACTTTGTTACATTTAAAAACATTATTCTGGGAAAGGCTCAAGATTGCCAGGAGTCCACAGCAAATAAAAGGTCAAGAATGCCTTTATCTGGTGAGTTCCAGACAGAGGCCGCTCTACCAGCTGGGTCCTGGAGAGAAGCCCACAGGCACAGAGCTGTGACTGACTTTGGGAACACTGGGATGAGCAGAGCAGTCTTCAGTTGCCACAGAGATTGATATTGTCATCCCATCCTAATCTACACCCCTTATCCATTCTCTGGAAAAAAAAAAAGTCATAAGCAGAGAAAGTATTGTGGGCATGTTCTATCAAATTATGTGAGTATGCTCTATCAAATTATTTAGAAGCGTTTCCACATTCGATTAATAGCATAAAGATAAAAAATGCTACAAGTCCCTTCATTAATTCAGATATCAATGGCGAATGAAGAAATACAAAGTAGGATTATAAAATACAAACATTATAAGTCAATGACCTTTATGAGGCTAGATAAATGCCACAGGACTATCTTGAAAAGGAGCAAAACATCTGAAATTCAACCATCATTCTCCATTTAATGCCCTCCCCCTACCCCCACCCCCCAAAAAACCAACCTCAGAAGGCTAGGAATAAGAAACTTCTTAAACATGATAAATAATCTCTAAGAGAAGTCTAGGGACTCAACCCACAAATGGTAACATCAAAGCACTCCTTTAGAGCAGGGGTCCCCAACCCTGGGGCCATGGACCAGTACCGGCCTGTGGCCTGTCAGAAACAGGGCCTCACAGCAAGAGGTGAGTGGCGGGTGAGCAGGGGAAGCTTCATCTGTATTTGCAGCCGCTCCCCAGCGCTAGCATCACCGCCTCAGCTCCACCTCAGATCATCAGGCATTAGATTCTCATAGGAGCACCGGTCCCTGGTGCCGAAAAAGGTGGGGACCATTGCCTTAGAGGAAGGGAGGATAAGATCTGGATGGTTTACTCTCACTGTTGTTACTCTGCCACTCTGACCTGCAGTCTCGGGCCAAGGCTCTCAAGATGAAGTAGAAAGACAGGAATGGAAAACATTTGCACACGATAGCCTACCTAGACAATCCAGAAGAATCAGCTTGAACTATCAGAATAAACGAGAGAACAGCAAGGGGCTTGGACAGAACACTCAACATTGATTTTTAAATAGCTTTGCTGCCATCAGCCCTCTATCCCATGGCCCTCTGCTCCCACATCCCCGATCCTAGTCCTGCCCCTAAAGATAACCACAGCCTCTCTGGATTGGGAGGCAGGGAAGAAGCGTGTGGTGATGGTTAAATTAAAGGCCAGGCAATATATGGGATTCTGAGAGTCACTATTTTAATACAGCACTTTCGGCTAGCCTAATGAAGAAAATGCAGAATATGTTTCATTTGTACTTTATGGCTTATTGGCTTTTCATGTGAATGTGGGTATCTATATTTCTTAGGGGGTTGCCTGTTTATATCTTTCTCCATTGGGTTATCTTTGATTTGTAGGAATCCCTGTGTGTCCTGAAGATTAATTCTGCCCTATGTTGCAAATTTCTTCTTGTGGGACATTTGTCTTTGTAGTGGTACCTTGTCATAAGTTTTAACTGTAGTCACATCGAATCCGATCTCTTTGTGGTCTCTACTAATTGTTTGCCTGTCTACCCATACCATAAATTCGTCCTTGAACATTTTCTAATTATAGACTTTAATATTTAACTTAAGTTACTGTTATTTGGAATTTGTGAATGGTGAAGGGCTATCACCTTTGTTCTCAGAGACTGCTGATTGTCTTGGCCCCATATATCAGAGTTCACCCATCCCTCCGCTGACCTGAAATAGTGTTTAACCGGTGTTTAATCTGTATCTACACAAGTCTGTTTTTATACTCTGTTACATAGTTATTTATTCCAGTTCTAATATTCATACTGTTCGAATCATAGCTTTATGTTTTTAATTTCTGACAAAGCAAAATGCCTCGTGCAAAATTTTGGAGCTACTTTTGTGCCTTCTCTCTTCCAGATGAATTTTACTATCCAAAAAGCAGGTGGAATAGTGGTATGGAAGTAGAGGTGGCAAAAACAACAAACAAACAAACAAACCTCGTCCTGTCATTGTAAGCTTCCGAACAATACAGTTTATTCACCTTTTACTAGAATGATTAAAAAATTTGAAAATAAGAGCAAATATATATATATACTCAATGCATAAAGTTCAGAGAATTGATGCTGTTTTTAAACCTATCCAGAAACGGTTACTGTTTACATTGATTTTTCTATCTTTTATTTTTGCTTAAGATTTTATATGGGGAAAAAATAAGAATAAAGCATTTTCTATCCCCCCCCCCCCCCCCCCCCCCCGCCACACTTCACACTGTTTCTATGCTGTGATTGAAAATTTAGTTTTTCCGTCCAAGGACAAACTTGCATTATGGGATATAGATATACATATACAAAAACCCTCACATAATTTTAGAACAAAGGTAATAAAAAGATCGAATCCAAGTTCAAGGCCTGACTTTCCAAGACTTCTCCAACGTGGTTACAGCCCGGCTTTCTAATTTACTCTCCCCAAACAAGCCCTTAGCAAGCCTGCATGCTAGGCACACAGACACCTGTTCTTAGCCACGCCTGTATTTACCTGTCCCACCCTCCCTCCGTGGTTCACAAAGTGCAGTCTGTGATGGCCTGGGGGCCCATGACACCCTCTGGTCCAACGTATTTTCGGACTACTAAAGCACCATCCGTCTTGTGCATTGCCGACGTGTACACACGGATGCCAGAGCAACGACGGGCAGAGCTGCTGGCAGCTTAGCAGACTGCCAGCTCCGCCCTCACCGATTCCTCACTGCCATGCCCACCCAGTGCGGCCGGAGCCCGTTTCACTTAGCTTTTGCTGTTCGCAAGGATGTCCTGTTGCTTTAAATCTCTCTCCCTATTTTTGTTTTAAACATTCTGTGTAATGAAATGGGAAGTACACATAACGTGCTTCTGCTGCAAACCAAAATACACTGGTTGTCTTGAGAACTAGCACTTGCGCGCGCGCGCGTGTGTGTGTGTGTGTACGCAGGTTGCATTGCAAACCAGGTACTTTTTTCCATGCAGCACCATTTTGATTTGAAAGAACTGACAAAGTATGTTTTTGTTTTTTTTTTTTCTTTTTCCAGATTTGGGATTTGGCAGACATTTTCTTACAAATGGATTAAGGGAGTCTGTCATTTCAAGGAAAATTACCCACAATACTGCGGTGATGACGTTAGCGGGGGGGAGGTTGCATTGCAAACCAGGTACTTTTTTCCACGCAGCACCATTTTGATTTGAAAGAACTGACAAAGTATGTTTTTGTTTTTTTTTTTTCTTTTTCCAGATTTGGGATTTGGCAGACATTTTCTTACAAATGGATTAAGGGAGTCTGTCATTTCAAGGAAAATTACCCACAATACTGCGGTGATGACGTTAGCGCTCTAAAACAAAAGTTAGGATTTTATAATGTCTCTCTTACCCCGGGCTAGCAGCTTGTGAGTTCTTAGTTTTCTGAGGTGGTTGGTAATATTAACAGAAGTGATTTCCCCCTGTGGTATAATGACATGGCCGACATTTGGAAGAACTATATAGCTGCCGGTGCACATGTCAAAAATCAAGCTTGGGTGAAACCTTCCAAAACGGAAAAGAGACCAATAGATTTTAACTTTACAGCCTGAAAAGTTTATGGATATGGTGGCAGATTCCCCAACTCAGTGAACCCCGCAAAGGACTGGGCCTTGTCTCACACTTTCTGTACCCCTACCATGCTGTGCTATTCCAATAAGACGTTATTGATCTAGCCCCTGCTTCTCTCTCTTGGATCACCTCGGCACCACTGACATTTGGGGCCTGATCATCCCTCGTTGCAGGTTCAGCCCTGTGCGTTGTAGGATTGTGGCAGCACCTTTGGCTCCCACCCAACAGATGGCAGTAGCATGGCCACAGCTGACCCGGCTCTGTGGAATGTGTCTAAACCCGCCACACTGGTGGGGGTCTCACAGTTTAAACAGATCCTGCGATTTGCATGCTCTCACTGACACTATCCTGGCAGCCCTGTTCGTTCTAGCAGAGGATCGATCGTTCCTCTCGCTTAGAAGCCTTTCGTGATCTGCCCTGCCCAGGCCAAACGGAGCCTTCATTCTCTTCCGGCCACAGCACAATGGCCACTGCAGCAGAGACCACTCATTGTCCACAACGCTGTCTTAACAATGTTGCTGCAGAGTCTTACCTGGGCATGGGGCTGCCCTTCTTGGAACCATTTCCCAGTCCCCGCCCATTGGTGCTCCATATGGTCATGACTAGGTTCTGCTCATATGCCACTAGTCACAAGGTTTGCCACTTCTGGGGCACGGCGCGAGGGAGGCAGGCTGTGAACCTCTTCCCCCGCTTCTGTTTTCCACCGGTTAAGAGATCTGGACCCAGAGATGAATGCGTATGTTAAGGATGACAGAGCCATTCTACCAGCCGTGAACTTGCTTCTTAAATTGTACTTAAGAAAGAAACCTGATTACGTTTAAGACACTTAGTTTGGTTTCTGTAAGAGCAAAGAGACCAGCATCCTAACTCATACGGCCTAGCAGGCGGTCTACACTAGAGACCGAAGGTTGGAAATATTTTGTAAAGAGTCAGATAAGAAATGTCTCAGGCTTCGTGCAGCACAGTCTCTCTAGCGACTACTCAGTAACATCGGTGTGGGGCCACAGCTGGCTCAGGCAACAGGTGGACAAATGGGGATAGCAGACGGCTGGGTTTGGCCCATGGGCTATAGTGTGAGGCCCTGCCTGGTTATAGAGCACGACATTCCTTGATCCCAGTACATCTTACTTCTGTGTTCTCAGCTCCTCTGAAGGCACCTTTGAGAAGCAACCTCATTGCGCTACAACCTCACTGTTACTATGGCCACAGGCCCTGAGCAGCCATCCCTCTGCCAACCTCCCCAACTGCATCTCAGACCCATTCAAAATCCCCAAATTATTATATCAATAAATTTCTGAGGATCAGAAGTCTATGAGTAGACTAGCTAGCTAGTTCTGGCTAAAGGTTTCTCATCAGGTTATAACCAAGGTGTTGGCTGGACCTATGAAACGTGCATGTGTGATAGTGCTGGAGGACCTGTGTTCAAGCTCCTGCATCATCTCACACCCAATTTTGCCCCTTCCAAGCCTTTGCACCTGCTGGTCCCTGTGCCCGGAGGGTTTCCTTCTCCCCCTTGGCTGGTTACTTAGCCATCTTCCATCTTCCACGTCAAGTGCCTCTTTAAAAGCCTTTCACGACCATCCTAGAGCAAATCCCGCTCTGAAGCTTCTCCCAGCTTTGACCTCGCCTCCAACACAGTTACCATTTCTGCCTGTTCGTGACTTGTTAGGTCACGGCCTCCCCCACTGGACTAAGTCTCATGCGGCAGAGACTGTGTCTGCCCTGCTCACCACTCATAGGCCCAAGCGCTTAGTTCATATCCATTTCCTCGGGGAATTTTTTGGTTTGCTTTTAACACTAAAGTTCTGAGCCAACGAACGAACACCTACCCGTGTGGATTCTTAGATGACGGTCCAAATCTTTCATGCCGTGAACAGTTTTGAAGTGGCAACCTAGACGAGAACGGGGCAAAGAAACAGCTTTTCTTAAAATACAACCTCAGAAAGGAGGCGACTATAAATCTGAACTTCTGGTGAGTCATGCTGAGCTCGGCTGCCACAGGATGCTTAGAACCCGCAGCGGATGCGTGTGAGTGTGCAAAGGGAGTGCAAGATGCAGCGAGGGATTCACGCGGAGCTCAGGTTAACAGCGCCTGGCACAGAGACAGGCTCAGCGCGTTCAAGGTCATTCTCTACCTGGATAGCAGCAGTTGAACGTCCTCTCTCCGAGGGTCGCTGTTTGTTCCTTTGACTCAGAGGAGAGAGCTATGACGGGGCCTTTCTGGGCGTCGCTGAGGTCAGTGGAGGGACAAGTTGGTTTTGGAACATCATTATCTAGTTCTGAAGCTGAAATTGGAAAAAAAAAAAAAGTGTTACTTAATTTCTCAAATGTAACCACTATGGCAAGTCTTATAATACGGCAGGTTTGTGCTTGTTGTACCTCCCTTCACCGCCCGCCGCCCCCCACACAAAAAAAACATTAAAAACTAAAGCCACATACACTCAGGTCTTAGAAAAGTTCTCCTCTTCTAAATACCAATTTCCAGGAAATACAGAGGACAAAAGAACATGGTACACGAGAGCGACCCAAGTGGCAAGATCCAGACTGTAAACCTTTGCGACGCGTCTCAAAGACCTAGTTTGTAAGATAATTTCCAATCCGTCACAGGCCGATACTTCATAAAATGCAATAAAGACAAATTATGAGAAAAGGGAAATAAAACAAAAAGAAAAGCCCAGATGTTATCAGCAGGTGTAACAGAAAGCTGGAGGTCACGGCAAAGTCGAGCTGTTTTTAAATGCTTACTCTCCACTTCTGAACTTGTTTGGTGTCCATTTGGTAACAAGCCACAGATCACACTGCTTCAGGCACCACTGCTCTCCAGGGCAAAATGCAGGGTTTCAACAATCCAACTGAAGGAAGAGGGAAGGAAGAACTAGAGACTGAAAGACTGGAGATGATGGTCTGTAACATCAGAACCTCATTTGGATCCTGATTTAAACACGTGGTTAAAACCATTTAAGGCAGTAAGATGATGAATGCTTAACTGAAACCTTAATAAGGAATATTTTTTTTAAGGGTATGAAGGTGAAATTCGTTTTTAAAACATTCTCATAACTTAGGGGTGAATATTTATAGGTTGTACATGTGTCTGGTTTGCTTTAAAACAATCCAGGGCGGGGATATAGTTAGTACAGAAGCCATGAGATTGGCCGCATGTAATTAACTGCTGAAACTCAGGAACAGGTGCGGGGTGCTCGCCGCACCATTCTATATGTTCAGTAAGGTTGAAACTTGTGACATCACCATTTCCATGGGCCGAAATGATCAGATAACTTCATGGGGTTTGATCTGACAGGTAGTTTTAAAAAATTCTATAACAAAAACTACGCACTGCTAAAAGACTGTAAAGTGATTTCTCTCCAAATAGATTTAAGTTCAAGGAAAAAAGAGGTCCTGTCAATGTCTGAAGCCTTAAAAAGATATTGACTAGTTTATGAATTATAAGTCAAGGTCTAGGACATTTTGTCTGCCCCAGGTATAGAAGCTGGGTTCCATTTTTCTTGGGTTTCAAGGTAAATCTTCTATCCCCACGAGAAGCCGTACAGCACATTGCTGAGGGCTTCGGTGATAGGCTTAGGGTTTGCACAGCTGTAATGCTAGCTGTGTGACTATCGGCAACTTGCTTAACCTTTCTGAGCCTCAGTTTACTCATTGCAAAGCGATCGCTAACCTGCCCCAGGATTGCGAGTTAAGAGATGATCAGTGTAACTTCTCAGTGCAGGGCGTGGTCTGAGCTGAGTAAATGCTATCACAGGGATTTGGTTAGAAAGGGCTGCAGCTCTCACATCCCAGTAGCTGTGGAGCTCGAAGCCCCTTAACAGAGTCTTCCTGAACAAGTGACTCAGGCCTCAGGCTCTCAACTGGGGGTCATTTAGCCCCCAGAAAACATTCGGCAATGCCTGGGGACATTTTTGAATCCCGTGATTGTGTACGTACTTGTGCGTGATAGTAGCACCTAGTGGGTGTAGAAGCCAGGGATGTTGCTAAACATCCTACAATGCACAGGACGGCCCCGATGCCTGGATCAGAATCACCTGAATCACGGGTTAAGTGTACCTTACCAGGTGGGGTGGTTAGGGTAGATCCCAGGAACCCGCATTTTAAAGCACTCCAAATGTCTGCCATACTGCCATACTAAACCAGCTGCTCCTCAAAGGGTGGTGGGCAGAGCACTAACATTAGCATAGCTGGGGCTTGTTAGAAATGCAGGACCTCAGGCCCCACCCCACCTACAGAATCAACTCACACTTCAATAAGATCCGCCGCACGTTCAAATGGGAGAAACACAGCTCCCAGCCCACGATTCTCTAACACGGGTGCATCGGAACCACCTAGAGGGCTTGTTAAAACACAGGTGGCCTGGGCTCCGCCTCTAGAGTTCCTGATTCAGGAGGGCTGGAGTGGAGTCAGTTATTTTTCTAGCAAGTTCCCAGCTGATGCTTCTGGTCTGGGAACTGCACTCTGAGATCTGCTCCATCAAAAAGGAAGCTACCCCGGGAGTCGCTCAAGGTTGCACAGCTAGAAGCTTTCAGCTGATCAGAGCCCATAATTACCAGATCTATGCCCGTCAAGAGGAAAACACAAACGAAACCCTGTACTACTTAGCAGTTCGCATTCGAAAAGAGAACCATCAAACTCTTGAGTGTTTTAATCCCACAGAAACCAAGTAAGTTTGAAAAGCGAAAATCTGAGAGGTTGTAAAGCACAGTGGTTTAGGGAACTGACTGGGAAGCCCGCTGGTTAAGTTTCAAATTCTAGTTCTATCATTCACGACCTGTGTGGTCCTGGCTGAGTCACTCAACTTCCCTGTTTCTCAGCTTCCGCATCTGTAAAATGGGGATTACAGCCCCTATCTCGTAGGTTTACATGAAGATTAAACTTCAGCATCCCTAAAAGAATCTCGTACATAAGTCGGCACTATCGAAATATTATTGGTTTTATTCGTGGACGTGTGCCCGTGTGAGCCACCAGATTCTTGGAGAGGGGAATGCATTGTGTAATACTTGAAAATAGGGAGAAGGGAGATGGATGGGGTAAGGCCATCAGAAAACGGTGCCCAACGCAACTAAGTGTCACCAGGTGGAATGTGATGGAGAGGCGCCAGGGCCTTCCCAAGATTTCTTTCACCTTTAACCACCCAAGGAAGCTCACTCTCCTGGGAAAGGCACGGCTGGGACAAGGACACTTCTAGCCTGAAAGTGGGTGGGTAGAGAGGGGCTGGAGGTGGGAGGTTGGCCATACATTTGAAAGAACCCAGTTTAGCACGGGGGTCATTCAACCCTATGAGAAACTGCTGATACTCCTTTTGTAAGGTTTCCCTTCCTCCCAGCCCCCCCAATTGCCAGTGTTTTTTATTGGTGGTGATGAAAGTCTATCAAACGACCTGCTCCTTTATATTTCCTTCAAAAGCTACTTGAATTGCAAAGCCGCCTGCAAATTAATAAGAGTGGCCCAACCTTAAAAAAAAAAAAAAAGGCGGGCCTCTTGCTCTGCATCACAGACCTAAAATGCAGGTGAAGAAAACCATCAGTCGGAAGGCTGCTTTTTCTCCGTAGTCCTGGCTGGCGTTGAGGGGCGTAATTCTGTTTGAGCCCTGCTCCCACAGCGTGGGGGGTGGGTGACTGGACACCCTTCTCCACTCCTCCAAACCCGGCAGCAGCTCCAGGACCTGCCCGTTTGCGGGAATAAAAAGTAGCCCGGAGCGGCACCTTGAACAACAGCCTGGGGCAATTCAGGAGCTGTTTTCTATAAGCATTCCCCCCAAAGACCCAACATCCCCAATAACCCCCCAATTCTTCTTGCAAAGGATCACTCAGGAGCTCTGACCGCACCCCAGAAAGACCCTCTTTTTCAACTGCCTGTCCCCATTCTACGCCTTGGGCACAAGGGAGTGGTGGGATTTTGGTTATGGTAGTTCCGCCCAGCCAAGGTCTGGTTTCAAGCACAAACTATTGTGTTTTAGAAGTGGCTTCGTGAAGGTTCTTCCACTTCAGCACCTCCTCGCGAGGGTGCGGTCATCAAAGCCCACCTGCAGCTGCTGGGGGTCTGAGCCTCCTCAGAGAGGAGGCCCCTGTCCCTTTTCCTCCGCAGGAAATGAGGGAGTGGGGAGCAGGGCAGCAAGTACAGTAAAAACTCTGCCCGCTTCCCACTTAAGGTATCGGCTAACCACGGGAGGAGGAGATCAAGCTGGAACCCACGTTGTCTTAATCCGCGTGCCAAATAATCAGAAGGGAAAGCTTTATAAATGCAGACTCCCCGCCCCCGCCCCCCCAGATACCTTGGTGTGTGTGGGGGGGGGGAGGGGGGTGCTGAGAGTAGCCGGAGAAATTTAACGAGTTAGCAAAGCTCCCTACCCGCAGGCGTTTCGGAAGAGTTGGCTCCACCGACCACGGGGTAAGAAACAGTGCCCTAAGGCCTTGGAGTAGCCGAGGGTCTCTCGGCTTCGCGGGGACCCCCTCCAGCCACGTGGCAGCCGGGGTGAACCCGCTCAGTCCCGCGGTGGCGCTGCCCTGATCCACGCCACTCCGCACAACGGCTCCACTTCTCACGGAGTCAAAGGCGAAGTCCTTTCCTGGAGCGCCGGGCGTCCGCGTCACCTCTCGATGTGCTCGGACACGCGCCAGACTCCAGCCCACTGACGTCCCAGCCGCTGCACTTGCTGCCCTCTGTGCCCCGAGCGCTGTCCCCCGCGGCCGTCTCCGCCGCCCGCTCGCCCACACCCTGCAGATTTTTACTCAACGTTGCCCTCCTCGGCCAGGCCTTCCCTGGACAGCGCATCTGGAAGGACCCCTGCCCCAGCCCCAGGCCCCGGGTCTCCCTTCCCTGCCTTTATAACATTTCCTCCCAGCGTCCCCCCCTAATGCTCTCCGCTTCACCGCCTCATCCCCTGGGCCATCTCTGTCCTCCCCACTGGGCCATGAGCTCCAGGACAGCCAGCATTTGGTCCTCCTTGCTCGCTGCTGTGTCCGTCTTCAGCATCTAGCCCCAGGTCCCCGAAGCTCAGACATTTTTCCGATAGTTTCCACCCGCCCCACCCCGCCCCCAGAGGGGCGCCCGGGGCGCGGGTCTCAACGCCCACCTTCCAGGTGCGCGGCCTGAGCCCGGCGCCAAGAAGGTCGGGGACCCGGCACCACACACTCCGAAGTCGGCTTCGGAAGGGGTCTCAGAGCATCCTCGCAGCATGTTGGGGAGATGAACCACCTTTTACTGGCGCTTGGGGGTGGGGTGGGGGCGCCGTCATTTACTCAAGGAGGTTGAAATCGCAAGGTGGGGTGTGATTTGCAAAGGCTGGCGGGGTGGGGGGGATCGGGGGCGCAAAGGTTCGAGCGCCAGGACTCGAGTTGGAAGCTTTACCCGCCCTTCCACGCCCGGTGCCGGCACCTCGTACCCGCGCGAGTACCGGAACACCCCAGACACAGCGTCGAGCCCCCGCAAGCTGGGCGTCCGCAGCGCTACTCACCCCATTTTCCCACCACCTCCGGGGCCGCCCTGGCCAACTCCTGGGGCGCAGGCTGCGGCTCCTCGTTGTGGAGGTGCTGGGGATTGGCCTGCTTGCGTCGCGACATGGCGTGAGGGTCGCGGCGAGTCCCCACGAGTGGCCTACTTCATACAACCTGGTCCCGGAGTTCGGAAATTACCGCCGCCCCCCCGGCCGGAGCGCGCATGTCCCGGCAGCGCCGCGGCTCCGCTGAGCAGGACGATTTATCACGAGCGCTGACAGCGGACTGGCCCCGAGCCAAGGCCTCGGGGTCCTGGGGAAGCGCGGTCGGTCCGCCGCCCCGCGGCCCGCACCCACCCGGAGCTCGTTAGAAATGCAGACTCTCGGGCTCCACCCCAGACCCGCTGCATCAGAATCTGCATTTTAACAAGCTCCCCGGGTGATTCGCAGGCACATTAAAGTTTGAGAAACCGTGTCTGCATTTTAACGAGGTCTCCAGGTGATTCGCGTGCCCATTAAAATGTCAGAAGCGCAGCTCTGCTCCAACTATAATGTGCGCACGAATCCCTGGGGATCTCGTTAAAATGCAGATTCTGACTCCGTGGGTTTGGGGTGAGGCCTGAGCCTCTGGATTTCTAACGAGCTCGCGGGTGATGCCCTCGCGGCGGCGGCTGCAACCAGCCGCGCGTTTAGATTCTGACTTAATTGGTCTGGACTGAAAACGGCACTGAGGTTTTTGTTGTTTTTTTAAAGCTCCCCCAGGTTATTCTGGGAGGTAGCCAAGGTTGAGAAGCACGACCTCCACTCGTGGTTCTCAACCTTGGCTGTATCTTCGAATTAATTTAAAATTTAAATGAGGCCAGAGGGTCGCCAACTGCAGGGTGAACCGCTGCTCCTAGAGGAGCTGATTAAAAATACCGATTCCAAAAAAGTTTTGGCTTCAGGCGGTGGAGCCCGGGAATCTGTATTTCTCCCCAGCGCCCCCACGCCGCCCCGCGTCTGGGACAGAAGCCTCGGGGCCAAGGAGCGCCGTCCCCGCCCAGCCGGTGACCGAGGCGTCGTCCTAGGGGGTTGAGCTAATTGGCTTCGTGCTCAGACTAGCTGGGACCTTGATGAGACCCGAGGCGGGGTGGGGTGAAGGGGAAGAGAACCCCCTCTTAGCATCCAACAAGGGAGCAAGAAAGACACCTACACCTTCAGGTGTTTACTTCCTTCGTATCGGGGTTGTTACTTAAAGCGGGACTGTGCCCTAAGCTTGCCCGAACCTGAGAATCACGTGGGGCCTTATTAAAAAAGACCCAAGTTCAGCTCTGAACCCGGGGCCGGCCTGGGAGCCTGGATTCTAACAGCGCCGCAGGCGAGTTTTTCCGCTGTGGCTTGAGAGATGGCCCGCTGGGGTTTCGCAGCGTCCTGTGACACGCCTGCTGTGAGGTTACCGTTAGCAAACCCTAGAGGTTTGAAATATAGAAGAGCCCTTATTTATTTCTCAAAAAACTGAGCTGGTTTCCTCAACCTTCCCATCGATTTCCAGCTGTGAGCTGATTCTAGGGATGGCTGTGTAAGGCCAGGTGAAGTCGCTTGGATTAAATTTTTGAGGCTTAAAATAAAAATCTTAAAGGACCTTTTAAAGTTTTCTTTGGGACGTGTGTGTAGCTACGTGTACACGTAAAACAGCCATATGTGCTTGGGTTTATCGTTTCTCCTTTTGGGATGTCTCAGAAGGATACTGGATCACCTGGGGTCACCTGGGGACACCTGGTCACCTGTGGGGAAGCTGAAAGGGGAAGAGCACCCAGTGGCTAGGATGGGAGACATCTGACACTCCTTTAGACGGTGGCTTGAGGTGTGCAGTGTGCTTGTGTATTTCTCCCCCGAGCCCCTCTGTATTCTTCAGCTCAGATGCACAGGATTGGATTAACCAAGCCTTGCTACATGCATGACCCGTTGTCTTTCCTTATCCATTTGATCCATCGCTGGCCTATATTTGGTTGCTCCTCGGTTCCTTGGCTTATGATATAATAACTGCCTGGGAACCCACCCCAAACTAGGACCTTAACCATAACCAGTATCTCTCATATGTCCCCTCGATCCCCCAAATGAATAGCCATCAGCCTAAACTCTACATACTTCATTCCTTTGCTTTTTGTTAGCAAGTTTTTTGTTTTTTGTTTGCACCTACATGCATTCTTAAAACTATATACAATTCACATTTTTAAAGAACCTCATAAAAAGGGCATAGAATCTTCCAGGAACGGCTCCTCTCGCCGCCCCCCCGGCCCCCCTGTATTATATTGCTAAGATCACCCAAATTGCTGTTAAGGTCCTTTGTCCATTTTGACTGACATGCAATATTCTATGGTGTGAACTAACAGGATTCATTCATTCATTCGCTCTCCCATTGATGGGCACTTGGGTTGTTTCCTGATCTTGGCCATGTGTGGCTGTGATACATGGTCTTTCTAAAAAGTGGCAGTTTCTTAAGCGAGTGTACACATTGGTTAAATGGCCAGATAATGCCGAAGTCGTAGCACTGATTGACACTCGTCCGGCACTGTAAGAGATACCGTGCAGCCACGCCCTTTCTCACACTTGGTATTATGGGATGTCTTCATTTTTGCCAATCAAATTGATATACAATGATATGTCACTATGGTCTTGAGTTGCATTTCCCTCGCGTGTATAATTTCAACAAAAAACGAAGTAAAAATAATGTTTTCCACAAGTGACAGCAACCGATGAACTTGGTTTTGTCTTTTGAAGGCACTGTTTTAATATTTTACAATATATCCATTCAGAATTATGATCCTAAATTAAGTTTATCATCATGTTTGGTTGTAATGGCTTGATTTCAAGGGTCATACTTGAAAAACTGAAAAAAGTATACCTCACAGGATGTAGATCTAAATGAAAGCCAAGTGGCATTGGCTATACTTAATAAGTTAATCTCCCTTTTCCATCCCATTCACCAATTATAAAAACTGACTATTCATTTCTCTTTGAAACCCAGCTCATAAATTTTCATCTTCCCCAATAATCAACCTGGGGCTTTTGCAAATTCAGCTGAAGAGGGTGCATCATTATATCTTCAACAAATGGATTTCAAACCCACTGAAGCCATTTATTTGGAAGATGTTTAAACAGATTAAAAACTCCGTTGCTAAGTTTAAACATGCAGATAGAGGTTTTTATAAGTGACAACTTTTCACTGTTTTCAGCAGCAAAATCACTTAACAAGGGAATCATGGCCAAACATGCATTTAAAAATACTTCCTCCATAGGCTGTTTCTCTTGCAAACTGGTTATTTTCTCATTCTTTACATAACACCTTTATCCTGAATTTTTTCCCCCAATGGTTGTTGGGTAGTCCCCTTTCATCATAGAGAAAGTCAATAACTTTGCAACCCGGTCACTTTGTAAAAGAAAAATGAAGACTATCCTGTCATTTTGATAACTCTTAAGTATTGAGCCAAGAGATGAACCGTGTACCTCTGAACCACACAAAGATTCTCCTGGTCACTCTGCCTCTCTTTACAAAGCATTACAAAGATTCCAGAGGCGGCGTGATGTAATAGCTAAGGGCACAGACGGAGCCAGCCTGAGTTAGAATCCTGCGTCTGTTACTGTGTGACCTTGAGAAAGCTGTCCTGTGCCCATTTTCTCAACAATAAAATGGCAATACTAATAGCTAGGGTGGTTGTGAGGGTGAATAAATTCATGTGTAGAGGACACAGAACGGTGTACAGTACAGAGGTTGTACTCTCTGTGTTCAGATAATTCTTATTTATAAAGACAGTAAGAGTTAACAGTTATCTATAACAGTAGCTGACACTCGTCTAGAATTGGCGGTTCCGATGAACTAAGCACAGATTGTGTTTTACACAAAAATAAACTGGATGAAAACATTACTCAACCTTTCTGAGTTGCCAATTTCCTGGGTTTCAATATATATTAAATGAGTAATTTAATACTACTCACTTAATATTGCTCAAGTAATTGCTTTTTTTTTTTTTTTTAAAGAGAAATGGATAAAAATAAGTTATAATTGTTTCTCTGATTGTCCTGGGCCTCCTGTGGGTACGAGCTCCTTTGGTCATGTTCTCCTAAGCCACCTCGTCTGACTTCTGTCATGACAATTATTCTCCACTATAGACACAGGACTGAAGTAGTAAATGTTTATCCAGGTATAAATGATTCCCAAACATGCTATAAAGCTAGACCAACGCAAATCTTATTTCTTCATCTGCCAGGAATTAATGTATTCATCTTATCACAATTTATTTGAGCCCACGCAGGTGCCTGCTCTGTTCCAAGTGTTGGAATATTGAGTGATATGCAAGACAAACAAGATCCAGCAGGGCAGTCAGGGAACTAATGAATGAACGAATGGATGGAGGTACCAGGTCATTTCAGATACTGATGGGCACCACCATCAAGATGAAAAGGGGTGGTGTGGTCGTGATTGACAGGGTGCTAGTGGTAGGGGTACCTGAGTTTGGCTAAAAGAGACCTTTGACCTAAAATGTGAATATAATAGGCAGCCATGGGAAGGACCAGGGAGATGACATTCCTGGGAGAGGAAATTACAGCAAAGGCTCACAGGAAATCAATTTTAGTGTGTTTCGAGCAAAGTAAGAAGATTCAGTGAGCTGGTTCCCAGAAAAGAAAAATCTGGCTCATAAAAAATTGAAAAAAAAAAAAATGTCCAAGCTCACTTATGATTAAATAAACATAAGTTAAAAAATAAAATGCAGTACTGTTTTATATCCTGTCTGAATAGAAAAGATTAAACACACACATATTATTAAGGGATCAGACGCTAGGATCCAGCTATTCCTCCTCCACAGGGCACTTGGCAAACTTACTGAGCGTGAGAGTCACCAGGGGACCTTGTTAAAATGCAGATTCTGCCTCCAGTGTGTCTCAAAATTTAACATGGATACAAATCACCTGGGGACCTTGTTAGGAAGCAGATTCTGATCTCAGTACTTCTCAAACTTCAATGTGCAGAAAAATGACCTGGAGATTTTGTTAAATGCAGATTCCAAGCAATAAACGTGTAAGAGGTGTTCAGCCTCACTAATGATAGGGGAATGAATATTAAATAACCATAAATTCCTCTCTCTCTTTTTTCCACCTACTAGATCAATAAAAATTAAGGAGGCTGATAACATCTACTT